AGGCAGCCGGATCAACGGCTGCATCATCGGACTGGTAGTTGGGGTCAATTGTCGTCCACCTGGTGTGAGCCATTCTGTCCTGCACATGAACAGAGACGGTCGGATTCGAAGTAGAGTAAGGGTGGTCCAAACACTCCCAGGCGGCATCCCTAGTCCTAGACTCAGCCATCCCAGGTTACCGGCTGACCTCTGTCTTAGGCTGTGTCGTGTGTGTTATGGGAGAGCCTATTTATGCTATACAAACTACACAACCGGGAAAAACTCAAAGAGTTGAGAAGGGCAGAGACAGTAACTTGAAGTAAAGTTTGTAGAAGGCAACCGTTATCCCAAAGTGTGGCTTGAAGATCCCACATGCGGTAGCGTACGGTTGTGTATGTTGTAAAAGCTGAAATACAAAACAAACAGTTAGGCGTTTTTCGAAGAAAATCGCTCAAAGATACCACAGACGGAAACGTCCGACTGTGGTTGTTTAGAAAGTTACAAGGCAGGTGGGTATGCATGTTAAAAGGAATTTGCCCAAAGATACCCCAGACGGTATCAATGGAATGCTATTTTTGAAGAATACTCAAAGATACCCCAGACGGTATCTATGGGATGCATTTTTGGAAGCTTGCTCAGAAGTACCCCAGACGGCACAAGACCGGCTGAGGGTCTTATGGAAGCAAATAAAGAAACTGCTTGAAGATGTCACAGGCGGTATAAAGACCCTAGACGGTGTAACATCGGTCGAAAGGCCATAAGATGCAGTTTTGAAGAAAATTAAAGTACCCCAGACGGCACAAGGCCGGCTGAGGGTCTTATGAATGCAAATAAAAAAAAATTATGAAGATGCCCCAGGAATTATAAAGACCGGCTATGGTCTACAGAAAGAAAATTATTAAGGTTGCTTAGAAATGCCCCAGACGGAACATTTCCGGCTGAGGGTCTATTGAATGCAATTCTTGAAAAACAGTTGTTTGAAGATGCCCCAGCTGGTATATTTCCGGCTGAGGGTCTATGGAATGCAATTTTTGAAATTTTTTTGAAGGAGCCCTAGGCAGTATATTACCGGCTGTAGGTCCTATTGAATGCAATTTGTGAAAGAAAATTGCTTAAAGGTGCCCCAGACGGTGTAAGACCGGCTGTGGCTCTACTTGAAATCAAAAAGAAGAAAATGACTAAGTCAGACAGTACCTAAGAGAGGATCGAAGAAGTACTCAGCCGGTATCCGGACGCGTCTGAATCAAAGTAGCCGGTTGAACGAAAAAGCAGCCGGTATCAGAGCTCTCAAGGAAATTTTTGCAAGTTTGTAAAAGTGAGGAGGAGAGAGAGGGTTGCCTCTATTTATATAGGAACCCAGAAGGCGAACCACCACCTTCTACCTCAAACATTCAAATTCAAAAAAAAAATGAATAAAATAAAATAAAATAAAAAGAGAAAGAGAGAGAGGCGAGAAGTAGACCAACCGTCACTTCCCTAGTGCATGACACCTGTCACAGGTGACACGTGGCTAAGCTACGTCACGCCTGTGAGGGGCAAATGTTTAGGGTAAAAAACCACCTTAGACACGTGGCCCAATGACCCTTTGACACGTGGCAGGCTCTCAGAGGTTTACAGGGATCCAATCCCCTAGTGACACGTGTCCATGGAACCTTAAATGAGGGACAGGTTCCCCCACTATAAATAGTAGACCAAACCTCATTTATTGGGCATTCATAAATTCACCCATAAACACTATACATAAAAACCGAGCAATATTCATTGCAGAATTCTCCCTAAACCCAGGAGAAGTATTTACCATTTCCGTGCAATTTACTACTCCGGATGTATACTAACTTGATCGTCGGAGGCGGAACTCCACCAACCGGAGTCTTCGTTGTTTTGCAGGTACAAGCGTCGGCTGCGCATACTAGGGATTGTAACTCTCCCGAGGGACTCCAAAAACCTCGAAACAACTTCAACTGTTGAATTCGAGGGCCGCTTGTTTGTGCAAATCTCTGTTTTAAATGATCCCAAAAGGGTTTAGCTTCCCTAAATTCTGACAAAGATGACCTCAATTCAGCAATCGTATTCGAAATCCATGATATGAGCATTGCATTGATAGCTGTCCAATCGGACTTGGTGCAAGGCAAGGAGGGAGCAAGGATAGTGCCATCCAAGAACTCGAACTTGCGTCGAGCTTTAGGGTTGTTTGAATGTCAGCCACCCAACTATCATAATTATCAGATTTTAAACAGGTTGGGGTTATGAAATCCCCTAGTTAGTCTTGCGATTCGAGATGATAAGGAGAATTAGGTTCTATCTTTGGAGGTGGTGGCGGTGGTGTGTTATCATCACCAACCATTGAAGATTAATTGAAAAGAAATCTCTAGCCTAATACCATGTAAAAGCAGTTAATATGCAAATCTATGTTTCCAAAAAGGCAGAGGCACCCAATTTATAATACAAGCTACGAACCCTAACTCTAGGAAATTCTATCATATGGTAATTCTAGAGTTAGGAAATAACTAGAAAATCTACCAAAATATATCCTAATTAGCATAAAATATATCTTAACTAATGTATTTCAAATAATATCTCAACAGGTATGAGTGTAATTTTTCTCATTATTGTAAATTTTAAATAATCAATAACATAATGCTAAAAGCGAATCTAGCATGACACTTGTCATGTGATTAAAAATTTTCCCGCCACTTTTACTTTTTTCTTTTTTTTTTTCTTTTTTTTTTTCCTTTCTTTTTTTACCAAATCTTCTTCAATATTAATTTATATATCTTATAATATTTAACTTTCAATTTGGCAACTATATACATAGTATATTCTATATGCATTCAATGATAATATTTTACTATCTTTCATATATTTTATAATATGTATTTTTTTATAATAAACAAACATATACTACGTATAAGGTAATATATTAAAATAGTGTACTACTCCCATACTCTGTATCATTCTACATCGTCTTTTTTTTTTCTTTAAGAGTTTTTTTTTTGCTCCAATCAGGATTGACACTTTAGCTTTCATTATATATGAAGCATTTGTTAATTTATTTATAATAATAACACTACAATTCAATAACTATATATATAAAATAAAAATAAAAAACCTTGATTATTAATTGTCATAAAATATAAGTCTATTAAATTTATATAAAACATTATGTCAATCAAAATATGCTATAAAACAGCGTGCCTGTCAAAACATGCCAACAAAATAGGGACATATGGCGTATATAAGTAAATTGCACGGGTTATAATTAATATAAAATCTCATTCTTATATAAAATCCTATTACCATTAAATTTGCTTTTTTTTTTTAAATGTTTAATTATCAATAACTTTTGATATCAATATAATATAAAATGCAAGTTAATTTTTTTTGAAAAGAAAATCAAGTCTTTGTTTCAATTAAAAATATTAATTTTCTTAAAAAAATATTTTTAAATTAACACTGTAATTCATAATTAAATTAAGTAAAAATTGTGTGTTGCACAAGACATAAACTAGTGTTAAACTAAAAGCTACATGTATTATTATCCATAAATAAATACTTCGTATTATAAAATGCATATCATAATTTCATAAGCACAATATGTAGTTTGTAGGGTTATGTACTTATACTAGGAATCATAGGAATGATAAAATGCAATAATTATAGCACTGTGAAAAATTTTGTCCTCAAGCTTTGGGATTGGATGAAATATTTCCATTGGATTCGTGTATCTAATTGGCTATACAATAAATAATTGGCCCAAACAGTCCACGGTCCACCATCCTTAAAATTTCCAAACTTTTCTCACGATGTATGATTGTATGATGGTGTGAACTTTCTTTCAGGCGACTTTGGGTTGGGAAACTTGTGAATTGTGATGGGTTGAATTATTATATCTCATATCTCTAATAACATTAGACATTTTATTCAAGGTCTGTACTAGTATACAATTTTTTCTAATTAAAAAAAAAAGAATATGACGAATTAAATTTTTTTTCTTCATTTTTTTAAACGTAAGAAAAAGAAAAAGCATTAGAAAACTCTCCTCATTTCTCACGAGGGGAATACTAAACTCTTTTCTTCGATTCCATATGTTTTATAATATGTGATCACTAATCTATTAATCTGATTTTCACTTACTTGAACTTATCTTATTAAAACTTATTAGTTGTAATTTGAACTTAGTTACCCGACCTTACAAAACTTATAATTCTTGAATTTATCTGATCTTATTAAATTTTATATAAGTGAAATTAAGGTGAACAGAACGTGCCCTTAATAGTAGTTTTTTTAGTTAAGTAACTTTGATAATATGTATGAAGTATTAATTATCGCTAGAATATTAATTTACTTTAATTATAAGTTTGAATTAGGGAATAGTGTCAAATTAAAAAAGAGACTTATCAACTAAAAAAGAATACATCGATTGTTAGATTATTTTTTTAATTTCATATATATAGTCCTTAGAGGTACATTCCTCAATTTTCCGGCCTATATTTAATCCTTTTTTCTATCTATTTAGCACCTACTAGCTATTATGGTGTATGAGAGTGATGAGACTCGTGTTTTAAGGAACATAATGGTTATGATTATATATAGACTTGTTTTAATTTAGCTCTTATGTTTTCTAATTAATTGTATGTCTAAAACCTAGAACGGCTGGTGGCCACTCTAAGTTTTTGTACAACTAAAACGCCAAAAAGAATCACTAATTGAAGTATTTTATGTAGAATAGCAATGGTAATTATTATTATTTTATTTTTTTTACAATAGGTAATTTTTGATAAGATATGAGTACCTAGTAACCTTTTACATACTTTGCTTAAATAACTAATATTCCATGTGATATACATATCGTCTGACACAAGACCTTTTAGGTAATTAATATTCGCTTAATTAATTACCTTTACCACCGAAAATTAATCACCTAATTGGCTCACAAAGGACACAATTTTGATCCTCATACATCTATAAACTTCCTATCTAGCTATAGGTATAGCAACAATGATATTACAAAAAAGGCATAAAACCAAATACAAAAATGAGAGACAAAGGAGGAGAGGAAAAGAAAGCAACGAACCAAAAAAAGCAGCCCTCTTATTCAAAAATGGGGTCCATTCAAATATTGTCTGATCCTCCCTCTCTCAAATCTTAAGATGTGACCTCCATCATCTTCTTCCCCCACTTCATTACCCTCATTCACCAAATTTTGTCTCCTCACTTCTTTCCTTTTTTTTTCAATTAAAATAGTACTAAAAATAAAATAAAATTTAAAGAATCCCTATATTTTTTTCTTTAAAAGGTTCATAATATATGTTCATGGACTCCATGGAGACCATCACAAAATTCACATCCGAACCCTCGCCAATAGTGTCAATGATGTGTTCCGAAAACCAATCCAGGGTGGCTGGTGCTCCACCAGCCGCCCCAGTGCTCAGTCGATACGAGTCCCAGAAACGCAGGGACTGGAACACTTTTGGGCAGTACCTTAATAACATGAGACCACCCGTGGCGGTAACTCAGTGCACGTGCCATCACGTGCTTGAGTTTCTTAGGTACCTTGATCAGTTTGGAAAAACTAAGGTTCACTTACATGGGTGTACTTTTTATGGGCAGCCTGACCCTCCTGCTCCTTGTAGCTGCCCGCTCCGGCAGGCTTGGGGTAGCCTTGATGCCTTGATCGGACGGCTACGAGCTGCTTACGAGGAGCACGGTGGGTCACCCGAGTCAAATCCGTTTGGAAACGGGACTATTCGGGTTTACCTAAGGGAGGTTAAGGATTGTCAAGCTAAAGCTAGGGGAATTCCTTACAAGAAGAAAAAGAAGAAGAGGAAGGTTTTAAAGACAAGTGATGGATCTTCTTCAAATCGTCGGTTTTAAGGTATAAACATCTTTCTCTTATCTATGCAATAATATTGACATATACATGTTTAAATTTTATTATTCTTTGAATTATTTACATGGCTGTTGAATTAATTGAATTTAATCTATTAATCCCTTTTCTAAACAAGATTAATGATATGATCAAGATTTACTATTCATAAAAATTGAACTAATTACCCAGTGAAATTAAAAAAAATGAAAAAAATGAAAAATGAAAAAGACAAAGAAAAGTTACATGGAATAATTGAATAGAGTAAAACCCTAATAAATTTTCATGAATATTATGCTTACGTTGTATTTATTATTATACATAACTATGTGAAGAATTATATAATTTTTTCTAGGTATATAAATCCAATTATAGTGCTTGTTCACTGTTAAGAGAGGATTTTCTAGTTAGATTAGCAATTCTCTCTCTTATCATGCAAAAATACTGTTATTAAGATCTTATGTTACGCATGTGATTACATAGTATTGTTGTATACGTATGTATGTACTTGTGTAGTACAAGTTGAGGTGATCTTCTCACTTGGATGATCTTTACTAAATTAGGAAACTTGTTTTGCACAATTTTTTTGCTTATTCCAATCGATGTCATTTTTATTCTTATCTTAAATCAATCGTTCAACATATATAATGTTTAGTTTCTTGAAAACTTGTATGTATGAGATTAGTATCGAAATTTTGCAATTATACATATTGTAGATCCCCGAAATCAACTATAAATGTCTAGATCTAGCATCACATTTTTGTAAATGAGAGAGTAATATCTTCAAATTGAAAGTGAAAGTCTACTACTGTAGGAAATGGGTTCTACTACTCTAGTGTTAATTAATCTTGTTAATTGAGACAAAAAGTTTAAAAGATTCCCCTTTATATTTTCTGTGTTTTATCATAGCAATGGTGGTGAGGTATATTTGTGTGAGTTTGTCGCAAGTTGCTTACCTTAATTTGAGACATATTAAGACACATCGTACAAAACATAAAATGGTAAAAAAAAAAAAAAAAAGCCTAAATTTGATTCAATTGTCTAATAAAAATGAAAGGAATTTCATTCAAGTAATTAAAACCAATGTAACAAAATCACGGATATTATATACAAAATCTTTGGATTGTCCTCTTTCATGGCCCACACTAACATCACACTTTACTTGACTTCTCCCTACCGGCCTACTCGATCTTAATTAAACCATTTATTGCTGGTAAGGATCGAACCCATAGTGAGTTCAAAAGTGATAATTAGTGTGGCTATCATCAGACTAATCCTATATGATTATATGCTATGATGAAGTTTCTAACAATTAAAAATGAATGAAGAGGGGGAAAACCCAACACTTTTATAGCATATACTTGCATATCTATGTAAATTCCTGAACTTATAGCAACAAATATTATATTGCTAATAACTTGTTACGTTACATCCACATATATAAGATATTATTATCTACTTATTACACTCCTATTCATAAGCTGATTAAGGTTTAATATTACATTTCCAAAACATTTTGTTATGCACACAATATATATGATACAATAAACTCCTGCAGTACAATATAAGTCAATCCTTACCAATAGAGTTAATGCTTTATATCATATTTAAGCATGTTAAGTCTATAAAGAATTCCATTAAAAATAGATCTAGTTGAATAGTAGGTGCATAAACTATTAGAATAAACACAACAACATTTTCATAAAGTAGCAATCTTACAATATTTCCATTCGGACTCCTCATTGAATCCCATTATAGCTCTAAATGACGACTCGTCTTTGCATCCCATAAAAATGAAAGGAATTTCATTCATGCATCATTACTTCATTTCATTACCAATAATTTTACTATTTATTTCAAAATTATTCATATCCCTTTTATTTGGACCTTCATCCTTCTTGATGAATCTTGCTATTATGCGTTACTAAAGAGTCATAAAACTTATATTAGTAACAATAAGCACTAACAAATAAAGCTAGGATTAATTCTAAATGGGTGTCGGCTGACACCCCATACACCTTAGTGATTTCTCCACTGATGGTAAATTTACTCATATATACTTGATTCTTGATTACAAAGAATGTAGTCATCTTCTCTCTTTTTTGTTTGTATTAAGGTAAGTGTGCCCTAGCAATCTTTTAAAATAAAATCATAAAAATAGTCCCAAATCATGATGAACTTGTCTAATTACTTGAACAAGTAGCTTCATCGATCTTAATATACACATGATGCATGAGTGTATTAAATTTCATCAGTATAATGAACTTGAGGCTATTTTCAACCAAAAAAAAAAAGTTTCCTCTTATTTTACTTATTTGTCTTGAGACTCAAGCTAGGGTTGCATGAGTTGGCTCGTTGGGTTGTATAGAAGGCATTAGGGTTGCATGATGAATTCATGTATACGTACTACGTAGTATGAGATTATCTGATGAGAGTTGCATGAATATTGAATACTCTGGCTAAGATGGTATGTAAGAATAACAAAAGGCAAATATGTCTAAAAGAGTTATTAACAAATATTAATGGTTTGGCTAGTTTAAGATTTAGGCCAGTCAATAAAAATGTGTCTAATTAAGAAATAAATTCTACCTTTTGAATCTCGATTTTTTTTACCAAAATTTCATTTATGTGATTATTTTTTGGTCTGTTGTACGTATCTACAGAAATAATAGAGTACAATACTAACTATGATTTATTTAAAAAAGGATCCCTAAAACTTATGATTATTTCCTTAAATTTATACTACCGTACATCCGTTTCTTATTATTTACAACAAAGGAATTTTTTATGTCTCACAACTAATACCCCTGTTGCAAATAACAAAAAAAGGTAGTAAGTATTATGTAATTATTCTTCAAAAAAAAAAAAAAGGTATTATGTAATTAATTTACTAAAGTGGGTGATACGGTTTGTTTCTATATACATGCCAATTCAAAATTTCTTGTGAAAATCTATAATAAACACTTGCACCGATGCACGTACACACGTGAAAACATGCATGTAAATGCAGCGTTCACTTGTTAGTGGCTATGTTTACATTGCATGGTACGGTGTCCTCTAAGGGTGGACATGGAACAAACTATTCAATTTGTGAACTGTTTGCAATCGGTTCAATCAAATTTCAGATTGAGTTCAATTTAGAGTGAGACATGCTTGAGCTTAATATATAGTTCAAATGTTAATGAGCCAAACTCAAACTTGATTGTGTTCAGTTCAATAGCTCATAAATCTTAAGTATATAATACTATTGCATATTTTTTGGGATTATATTGTTATATATTTGTAACATCAAGGGAAATTTCCAAGGGGACTTATCAAAGAGAAATTATTCTTATCAAACCAAGCTCAAATGTCTGATTTTAAAGTCTGAGTTCAGACTAAGTAAATTTAAATCCACTCAAGTCGATCTAGCCATGTTAGATTTTTGTTTGACTTGGCTCATGGCTAGTCCTAGTGCCAATCCTACTAGCCATGTTATAACTTGGTACGTAACACTTTTCAGGCTTCACTTGTAGGCTGTAGCCTTATGTTGGCTCTCAACTAATGGCAAGTGAGATGACAGAATAGGAATACACCAACCTAGTGATTTAATCTTTATTGCTTTTAGGCTTGAAATACTAATTTTGACCCAAAAGTTTCAATTATAAGAAGTACTTGTATATAAGTAATTTTCTGAAAAAAAGTTAGTAATTTAATCTTTCTTTGTTTCAGAAAAAAGTTGGTAATTTTTCTAGTCTGGTGTTTCAATTTTTTTTTAATTATTTAGGCTAAAATGTAACTAATGATGTGTAAATTAAATTCAATCCCAAATAATCTTGCTGTTTTGTCTTCGTTGATGACTTAGCATTTAGCAACCTGTCCACTTTATTATTATATTAACATTAATAATCCGTAAAAGATTGTATATTCACAGTTATCTATTGACTCTGGATCAATGCATGACCCCCTAGTCGAGGTTGGCATTCGCATTCGACAAACTGTTCAATCATAAGTCGCTAGTGACTAATATATTTGCCTTGAATATTTGACTAGCAGGGCAATATACCACGTAATACGTATAAATCTCTTGTTGTTAATAATAAGATTAAGTTTACTTCACCTTATTTGAATGATACAAAGTATTTAGTAAAAATTATTTAAGTTGAGTAAATATAATTTCAGTGTAGAAAAAAATAAGTTCAATTCAGTAAAATTATGCTTTAACTAGTATTCCCTTCGTCCTATATTATAGAACCTGCTTTTCTATTTTGGAGACCCAAAATGTTGTTCCTGTTTATATTTTTAGATAGTATGTAAAACTATTATACACTCATTTTTTTAACTTTATTTATTAAACTTCCTAATTTACCCTTTAATTATCCACTTGCCTCGTACTTTTTTCTACTTTCTCTCTCTAACTTTTGTCTATAATTGTACTTTTCACTTTTTTCCTCTTAAATTGTCCACTTGTCTTGTACTTTTATCTAGCTTTTGTCTACTTTTAATGTACTTCATTCACTTTCTCCTCTCATTTCTTAAATACTGTGAAAAAACACAAATATATTTTGGGACGGAGGGAGTAAAAATCAGTAAGTTTAAAGCACAAATATTACAGAGAATAAAAAATTGCAATCTGTAAAAAATAAATTAAGTTCAATAAAAATAATTTAATTTCAGTAAAATTAATTTCACTTAAGTAAAAGTAAGGTGAAAAGAATAGAGAAATATATTTCTATAAACTTTTATCAATTAAGCTAAGCAAAAATAAGGTGAAACGAATAGGGAATATGTTTCTATAAACTTTTATTTCTGTAACGATAAGATAAATAATTAAACTTTCATACATCTGTTTTTCTCGCCACAAGACATGTTTGAACTGTATAAGAGGTACGTAATAAGGAAGTTTCTGTATAAGGAAATATACTCCCTATGACATTCTTGTACTTCCTCTGTGTCACTTTTTAATGTTTATGCTTTAACCATTTTCTCTCATAAAAATATTCTAAATATAAATATTAAAACTGACGGAGAGAGAATTTATGAGCACCCGATGAGCTTTAAAGACATACAATCTAATCTACTTCCTTTTGCAAAATAAGCACCCCATCAGTTTAATATAATCACAACACTTTGATTGACATGCATGTCAAATTGCCAATACACAACTTTGACCATTAATATTTGTAATTATATATTATTAATAAGTATAAAACGTTTATATAACGAAAATATACATGAAGACTAATTCAAAAATAATTTACATGGTAACATATGGTTTTTTAATATATTGGTAAGAATATAGTGAAAGTAAGCATAAGAATAGTGCAAAAGTTAAAATATTGCAATTATTATGACATAGAGGTAATCCTATTGCTCATTTAATTTGATACACACTTTTACATACACCTATGACACAAATTTATCTTTTTTTTTTTTTTTTTCAGGATCACCGTACTTGCATTATTGCATACCCCTAACAGCTTGTTTGGTACCCACTACCCAGTAATAAATTGTGGTAATGAGAATAAATTAGGGTGTGTTTGGTTTGATGTTAAATGTTTTTTATGGAAATGATTTTCTCATTTTTTTTTCCCATTATTTTTCTTTGCTTTGTTTGTGAAGGGTTAAAAAATAATTTTCTCAATGGTGGAAAATTAATCTTCCTTTACAAAAAAATAGAAGCCACATTTTTCTCCATCCTCCACTCATTTTTACTTTCTTCTCATCCATCCTCACCTTTCCACTCATTTTTAAATTTACATATATTATTTATAAGGAAATAAACAAAGGAAAACTAGTTAATTTGCTACTATGGTTTCTCTTGAAAATTTGTTTTCCATGAAAAATCATTTTTCACTAAAAATATTTTACGCCAAATCAAACGGGACCTAAGTTTTGCTTAGGATGGAAAATAATCTATAATCTCCAACTAAACATAATATAGATGTAGTAATTCTAACCTATGATCTTCATTTATAAAATATGACTAAAAAAACATACATGAACATTGCAACAACCCCTAATAACACCTTTTTTTTTTTTTTTTTTTTTTTTTTATCTTCAAGCTTTTAAATTCATAGAGTCAAGTATAAATTCCACATACAATAACTAACCAGAATTCTAATCGACCATTCTTGCAAGCATTTTTTTATAAGAAAAGGTACACATATGCTAATTGTCTCCTTATCGCAGGGAAAGACCAAAAGTAGCTAATGATTTCCCTATCTCAGGGAAAATAAAAAGCCAGATATACATATACGAAAAAAAAAAATACATAACAAAAATAAAGATACTTGAGAACCAAAGGTACATCTCCATTAGCAAGTATCGTTGGAGACCCCCAAAGACAAGAGAATGTGGGCATCTTCAATTCCCTCAACACTCATTATAGAGTGTGAATCTTGGCTCTCCCTTCCCTGTAAGAAGAATCAAGATTAAAGTATGAGCACTCGTTAGCTAAAACCTTTGTATTGGCAAGGTTGTGCTACAACATGCACAACCCATAGTAAAGATTTAATCTTGTTGGAGGGCAAGGCCAGGGGAGGTCTAGGTATAAGTTGATCTTTGGAGGAAAGGATAGAGAGATCGAGGGAGGGTAATTTTCAAATGTTGTATGGCCGTATCTTGCATTGCTATACTACGTAGATTTGAAGCTTGCAATTGAAAGAGAGGCTTAATAGGATGTCTCACAGTTTTAACAATTGGGTGATGGGTTCCTTATGAAGATGGATGCACTGAATGGGATAGAGAGAAATTGAGCTTACATTTGAGGTGATGATTACCAGCTTTGAAAAGATGATTGTAGCTACTCGGCCTTAATACTAATTTAGGATCGCACCATTTAGAAAGGGAATTTAGAGGTGTAGTTGTGTAAAAAGTTCAAATTTTGAAATAGAACCTGATAACCAAAATAATCCAATCAAAAATGCAGATATCATATCCGAACCTGAACGTAAGTGTTAGGGTTGCTTTTTTGAATGTTTAGTAATTTGAACCAAAAATGCAGGTTAGCAAACTGATCAAAATATAAATCAAAAGAGTCCTTGCCTTTTTTTTTTTTTTTTTAACTATATGCTTGTTAACCCCTTCCAATATGCATATTTAGTGTCTTTTCCCTTGTGAGACATGAGATTTCTTGATTCACCTTTTTTTTTTTTTGGTTAAAAGAGGTAGCATAAATTAATTAGGCCCCAGCTGGGCTACATACAGAAGCAGTACAGGGGATAGTTAGGGGGGCTAAGAGCCCATTAGTATTAAAGTTTACAGACATAAGTTCCATACATAACTGCCTAATTATATCCACGCAGGGGCTTAAACTACTAGAGCTACTGGGGAAAGGGGTTAGCAGCCAAGCTCCATAAAACTTTAGTTCCACCAGGCACCTGACCAGCTTCGGATGCCAGTTGATGGGCTTGAGTCATTTGGCTTCTTGGGAGACACTGAACATTCTGCACCCCTGTCTTTTGCATAAACTCCCTGTAAACATGAGCAATATTAAAGTACTTGCTTCATCGATCAACTACTATGATATGTTATCCATGAAATCTGAAGAAATGCAAGAAATAAAATATTGTTGTTGCAAGAAAGATAATTGTTGTAAACAACCTTTAAATTCCCATTCATAAAATAATTATACTCATGCACAAGTTAACATACATATTATTGATCTGATTCAAATAAGATCACTTAGTACAACTAATCCTTTTATTATTGCAGATACTTACCTAGCCTGCTGCATTATCTCTCTAGAGAATGGAAACATATGATCAAAAAGCACATCAAGTTGGACAAATGAAATCTTGTTCTAGAATATGTGGTAAGCTAAAATAATAGAAGATCGAGCGAATGATAAATGGTTTGGATATATGAACAACCCCTAATCTCCTCGACAGTACAATGTATAACACAAGTATATTGTAATACTAGTAATAGTCTACTTTGCAAGCTTTTTGAGGGTACAAAACTTGAGTTGGTGCCTGAATATATTACAATATATTACTTGTATGTAAAGTCATTCCATTGTGAGAATGACAATGTTACTTGATATATGAGACCTTCTTTTCCATTCTCTCTCTCTTTAAGCTGCCTATATATGTAGCAGATATTTCAACGATCTTTTTAGCTGGCACATTTTGACTTTAAATATTACTCACAAACTTATTTTTGTGATTTATAATTACGATAAAATATAATCATATGAGATCTTATTAGAAACATCTCATAATATAAATTTTTTTGATAAATTTTACTTATTGATCATGAATAATTAGATATATAAATCGTTGAATTTGTGTGTTGGCAAACATGATAAAAAACACGTGTTGACTAAAAAAACGGAGGAATCATATAATAAGATATCAATATTCATTAATAATTATAAGCTAAAAGATGCATTAGATATTAAATATCATCTCTTGGTGTGCCCTTATTTATTCATATTTTTTTTATAAAATTTTTTATTGGAAAATTACACTTTAATAATCCCAACTTTGGTCAATTTACTTTGAATAATCCAATCTATGGATTATTTTACAATAATCCTAACTTTTACCTCCGTTTTCTTTTTTCAATCCCAAACCGGTTAATAGGTTGTTTGACACGTGTCAACGTGTGAGTGGCTTCAATTTTTTTTTTAAAAAGAAAAAGAAAAAAAAATTCTAGCAGCCGCCATTCCAGCCCTAACTGCCACCTCCACCTCCTGCCGCAGCCCTAGAAAACACCACCTTCTCCAGCCACCCAAGCCGAAAACGAATCCCACGACCAGCCGCACCCCCGAAACCGACCAAAACACCTAACACTTGCCCGTGAAACCACCACCAGCCCCAAAATCGCACCAAAAAAACCGAGATAAATTCCTGAAAAAGTCCCCCAAATACGTCTGAAACCGCCAGAAATCGGAGCCCTTTGCTGGAAACACTGACGTGACTAGAAAATTGAACGCGCCTATGCCGTCGCCTGAAAACCGCTGCCTGAACCCCGGAAAATTCGCCTGGAAATTGCAACCTAAAACCCGAGAATATTGGACCTGATAATCGCAACCTTAAAACGTGTGAAACCGCTAGATAACTGAGCCACCGTCAACCCTTCGCCGAACCTATTAGCCACCAGAGAAGCCACCGTGGAACCTGCCGGGTAACTGACGTGGGAAGGGGGTTAGGTGTTTTGCCGGTTGCGGGGGTGCGGCTAGTCGCGGGGGTCGTTTCCGGCTTGGGTGCCTGGAGAAGGTGGTGTTTTTGGGGTTGCGGCAGGAGGTGGAGGTGGCGTTTGGGGCTGGAGAAGGTGGCTATTGGGGTCGGTTCTGGAGGCGGAGGAGAGAGCGGTGGTTTCCGGTGGGGCTGGGGATGCAGTTGGGGAAGAGGGAGTGAACCCTGGTGGCCGGAGCTGCGATTGGAGGTGGCGGGCTGGGTTTTTTTAAAACTTGATTTTTGTTTTTTGGACCAATTAATGTGTGACATGTGGCATATTTAGAATTTAAGAAAAAATAAATAAATAAAAAATTTAAAAAAAACTCTTTCGGCAGATAACCGGTTTTTGGGATTGAAAAAAGAAAACTGATGTGAAAATTGGGATTATTGTAGAATAATCAATAGTTATATTCAAAGTACATTGGCCAAAGTTGGAATTATTAAAGTGTATTTTTCCTTTTTTATTTAGGTTTTGTTCTCTTTAGCTCATATTACTTAACTTAAATTATTGTTGCTAGAATTAAATTATTTACTGAATTTTTTAATGTTTTTTACATATTACTTCATAAAACTTTAATTTTTTTTACTTGCTTGGTTTGCTATTATATTTGTTCTTTAAAATGAATAAAATTTACTAATTTAAACTACTCTTTTTTTTTCCCCGTGTTATGCACGGTAATTTTCAAAAAAAAAAAAAAAAAAAAAAAAAAACTACTCTTCTTTTTACTAATTAAACATAACATATATTTTTGCTAAACTAACCCTTTTTTTTTTACTGAATATAACTAACAATATGATGTATATGCTAAGTTGAACTTATTTTTACCAAATTGAACTTACTATACTGAAGTAACTTATTTTTATCAAATATTATTATTTAAAATGAAGATCGTGAGCAAGGTCTAAATAAACTTTTCACGGGATAAAAATAAGTTATCTAATATATAATTGATTTCAAATGTAACAAAAAATTATTTTTCAAATCATGATTTTTAGGAAGAATAAAAAACCACCACTTATATTAGGAAAAGTATCAGTTATTAATTTACTTATCTATTTATTTTTGTTATCTATAAGGTAGTTAAAAATTTAAAAGGTTAACCTAATTGTAAACATTCTTTATTATAATAGTGCAGTTATAATCTAAATAGTATTTATAAAAGATTAAATTAAATATAAAACAATTACCTACAGTAGAAAAAAAATAGATCATCTAGATTTGATAGTCTCTATGATTAATAATATATAACATGAAAGGGTGATTACATACACAAGAATTTTATTTTTTTGGTGCAAACATACAAAAAAATAATTTATTGATTGAATTTCTAAGGCTTTATATAAATATATTTGGAAAAATTGAAAAGAACAGTCCCAACTTTTGTTAATCCGCTATAAACAGTCCCACTTTTCTATTATCTCTAAACGGGTCAAACTATTATACCAATTTTATATGAATGGTCCATGAGTAAGGATAACCTAATATAGCAGGTAAATAATTGTCACATGATTTCCACATGATTTTTAATGACTTCATTTTTATTTTATTAATTTCATTACCTTTTAATTTTCTTGAATTCGTTTTCTCACATTTAATAATCTATCTTAAACTAGGATAATCCCACAATAATAGAGATAGAATAATATCACAAGATAATTATCTAAAGATAATATCCCAATACATTTGTATTAAGTACTACTTTAGTTGTGTCATATATTATGTTTGCTATTGTTATATTGATAGTCTTTAGGTTGGTAGTTAGTGGAAGGATTGATTACATAGTTGTAAGTATTAATTAGATTATGATGAATTATGATTATAGATTGCAACAGAATGTGAGGGTAAATTTTTGGATTGTATTACCCTGATTAATAATTTTTTCACCTAATCAAATGATCAGACATTTTGTGTTTCCAATTGAATATGCCATATAATGTTGAAAACCATCAAGTAAATACATCTATCCGAAACAAAATTATATTACTTGACATCGGTCAAAATAGCATGCCAAAAAGATTACCATTAAAAAAAAAAAAAAAAAAAAATTGAGTACTAAATATATTATTTATCATGACATCAACTCCATAATTAATCACATGATGTCGAAGCTTGACTGTTTGCAGGGCACGTAGCTAGTTTAATATAATGAGGATTGTGTGAGCTATCCCTGATCACCTCTTTGTCCATCTCTTTATCCAGAATTCTACCAAAAATAATTATAAATATTATATACTTATATAAATAAATTAACGTGAGCAAAAATTAAATATGAAAGAATTACTCACATTTATTGTTGTTGTTCCATCAACGGCAATAAAAACTCCAAATCCTTGAGGTACAATATTACCTCTACCTATGCTTGGTCGTCTACCACCCCTATCCCCTCTACTTCCTCTTCCCCCTCTTATCACTCGTCCACCTCTACTTGTTCTTGTGGGTTCAACGGTGGCATTAAGAACTTGTGATGATAGTGTTTGTGCAATGGGTTGAGATGTGCTTGCACCATCAGTTCTTAGCCTCTTTTCAATTTGTTCCACTACCCTATCCTTATTTGGACATTTCCTCTTATAATGACCTTTGGTTTTGCAAATACTACATGTCATTTCTACTCCATGCTTGGTTAACCTTCCTGGTTTTTTTGGGTTCTCATGAGGGTCTTTCTTCTATTTCTCCTCGACCTTCCTAGACCTATCTTAATAGGGGTGAATTAAGTGGTACATTGACTCTAGGCCAACACCTCTCACTTACACATGGAGGAATAGAACCAGAATACGAAGCTAAGTAAGTCTCTCTTTTATACCATTGAGAGACATAATCTTCAGCATTTTGGTGACAAAAGAAGATGTATGCCACTGCATGGCAGCATGGGATCCCGGTGAGATCCCATTTCCTATAAGTACATGTTCTAGTTTGCAGGTCTACATTCAAGACATCCATGAAATAGCTCACTTGAAACCTGGTTGCACTGATAGAGTAACATTGCATTGTGCAGCTTGTTCCTTAGCTTTCTCCAGTTTTACTTGAATTCTTGGACACACTTTACTTGAGGTCTTCTCCATATGTATCTTCTTTAAAGCTAGTCTTTGCATTAATGCCGTCCTAATATCTTCTAACATATATATCAAGTGTTTTGTTCTTACATTTATTATGTATCCATTAAATGTTTGGGCTAGATTGTTCATAATCACATCTACCTGTGTTTCAGTGCTCATAAATGCTCTACAAAACACTCTGGGATTATAAGATCTAAAACCGACAACAGCCTCTTGGTCTAGCTTTCCCATATCGTTCAAAGCATCATTATAATCTGACATATTGTACGACTTTGCAGCCCTCCAAAAAAGTAATTTCATCTCATCTCCTCTAAATGATTTGTGCCAATGTGCAAAAATATGTCGAGCACAATGTCTGTGCTCTGCATTTGGAAGAATGTTGGCAACTGCATCCAATATTGACTACAAATGATAAAGCATCGATGTTATATATAACTCTACATAATGTTTAAAACTACTACACTACAATAGGTAAAATAAATTTTATATAAATTACTAACCTGATGTTCGTCTAAGATAATTTCAAGTCCATGTCCTTCACCAAGTTGCAAACAAACTTTAACCTCTGTCATAAACCATGCCCAAGAATCATTATTCTCCCCTTCTACAACCGCCCAAGCAACTGGATACATTTGATCGTTTGCATCTCTTCCCGCGGCTACTAAAAGTTGTCCTCCGAGGAAGGTCTTAAGAAAACATACATCTACACATAACAACCTTCTGCAACCAGCCAACCATCCCTTTTTTCCCACATCAAAACAAACAAACAACCTTTGGAACACTAGTTCTTTCTTAGTTGAATTCATTACCAATCTAATATATGTGTTTGAATCACTTGCCTTCAAACCTTCCAAGTACATACCTACTTTGTTATAGTGCTCTTGCATTGAACCATGCAATAATCTATGTGCATGATATTTCACCTTGTATGCCAAATCCTTTTTAATCTAGACTCTATATGCTCTTTTCACAGTTTCCATGATTTCCTTAGCGGGCCAATGTGGCCTGGCTTTGAAGATATCAAGGAATTATTCAGCTAGCCAGGTTGATTTTAGTTGCTTGCTCTTCTCCATGTTCCTACTACAATAATGCCCATTATCCACTTATTTGACTACAAAGCAAGCCCTTCTAGAGTCCCACGAAGCATACAACCTAATTGCACAACAAGGAATGCATCTAACCTCAAGTATATGTTGCCTCTTCTTATTACTTGTCACAAAACTAAGATTCCATCCTTGTAGTATAGCATATTTTGCTACAGCTTTTTTGAAAGAATCTCTGTTAGGGAATCTATACCCTACTTTCCACTCAAACTTTAAAAAATCTGTAGACTCACGATGGATGAAGTTTGAAATCTTGTTGAGCGATTTGAGCCGTGATGTCCGTGAAGGAGAGGAAGGCGTGGAGAGGCAAATTAAAGGATTTTAGATTTTTAGGGTTTGAATTCTTAAGAGTTGAAGATATAAACATTGAGAGGAAAAATGAAATATGAGAGAGAAAGAGCTTCTTACGGCTGAGAGAAGTGAGGCTGAGAGGAGTGAGAGTGTGAGAGGATTTTAGGGTTTTAGCTTTTATTAGGTCCTAAATATGGGCTTGGGCTTGTTTTAGTAAGTTTCCTCCTTTTTTTTTGTTTTTTTATTATTTATTGTTTATTTTTTAATTTTCAGGTTAGATGGGTCATTTTCGGGTTGGAATTTTCAACCTTAACTTAACCCATTTAATTTCAGGCCGAGTTCGTGTTGATCCATTTAAGTTTTTGAGTCTAAAATCTCAATTCTAACCCGATATTTTCAGGTCGGGTTCGGGTCTTGTTTTCGGGTCGAGTTAACTTTTGCCAGACCTAGTGTGGGTCACTAGGTGGGACCACTTTTTTTCTGGTTGGAGTCAATATTTCAGAATTTTTTATGTAAGGTTCTTTGGGGTTTTTTTTTAGTTGTGTTATTAACACCTGGTGCATTTGAAGAAGGGAGGATAGGTATCATCTCTGGCTCATCCACTCCAAGTTGCACATACAAGTCAATTTCCTTGTACTTAATTGCTAATGCTCCCATTTCTAACACCTCTTTGTCAGCATAAACCCTCCTCAACCCATCTTCAAAACTCATATTTGGTACTAAATAAAAAATTACATCAACTTTTTTATACCCACAATTCTAAACCAATTCTACAAGGTACCACCAACACAATTCATCAAGATCATCCCTTCTCCACCAACATATTTTAACAACCCAATTGCATTCTTTTTAAAAACCCCACCATGCCAAAATCTGTGTGACACTAGTTCATCCATTAATAACCATAACCCAATTCCATCAGTATACTTATTTCAAATTAAATAAATTTCTCAATTATATAGTCATACAATTCAACTAAATTCACAACCCTAAATTATAATAATTATAAAATTGACACAAATATCACATGCTCATACGATTAATTAATTAACCATTCAATATAAACTTTAATTATGTTAACTCCTTTGTTGGGAGGCTTCATATACCGACATCAATTTGATACTAGCAAAATAATTTCAAGATTTACAACTTACCTTTGTTACCGAGGATATCAATACCCTTTTGCCGCTTTCTTTGATGCGCTACATATACCCACCCACCAAGAAGATATAATTGCTTTTTATTAGGTTGTGTACTTTACAGTAGGCACATAGGAATCCTTTAATGGTGTAAGTGTCACAACAAAGGAAGATGGAGAAAAGATTATAATTGTACGGTGTTGGTAGTTGGGAAAGAGTAAAGTAATACAAAAGTCAAAATAAGAAATGAAATGGTAATGAAATTAATAAAATAAAAATGGAGTCACTAAACTATCACGTGGAAAACATGTGACAATTATTTACCAGCTATAGCTGGTTACCCGTACTCATGGACCATTCATATAAAATTGGTATAATAGTTTGACCCGTTTAGAGATAATAGAAAAGTGGAGTGTTTATAGCGGAATGACAAAAGTTGGGACCGTTCTTTTCAATTTTTCCAAATAATAGAGTATCGAACATATTCCTAGGCCTCAACCATTAGCTTAAACTTTTGGTTGAGTTGGTCCTTTATAACATGGTATCAGAACCAACGTAACATAAAGGTTACGGGTTCAAATCTCATCCACCTCACGCTTTCAAGTGGAATATTGAGTGCTGAATATATTTGAATTTAAAAATTCTATTTGCAACGTAAGCAAAATTAACGAATGAGAATTTAGAGGTTAATTAACAACGAATAATGACTGAGGATTTAAATTATTGAAATAAAAATACATCTTTTCACATTAAAGATTTTATCCTATTTATCTAACGAATGAGATAGCATATTTAATTACAATTTACATATTATTTATTTTTTTAATAAATCCAATTGCCACATAAATAACAATAACGAATAATGTCGCATTAAGTTACTTAAAAAAATTATACATTTCTAAAAGTCTACAGCAATTTGATCAAATTATTACATGTTTTTTATGCGGAATAAGTTGGGTTATTCATAGTTGTTAATTTTAGAATTTTGCCTACAAGTTTTTACTTCTCACTTGGGAAGATTTTTCTTGTTTTAGGCTTATTAGGATATATTTTTGTTAGTTGTCATGAGTTTTATCTTTTAGGTTGTTACCTTAAGATAGAGTTCTTTTTAAGAGTTTTTAGTGGGATAGAATTATAATTAAACAAGGATATCTTTTTAGATTTTATTAACTTATTTATATTCGATGTTAGTATTTAGTTTATCATTGGAGATTAATAAAATTTTGATTTATTGAGAATTATTGTTAGTCGAGAAGATGAGCAATTAAGCCGAGAAAGCAAATCCTATTTGAGTATTAATCCGAGAAAGATTAATAATCTTCATATCTTCCGTTACTTACAAATCAAACACATAGCCACCAAAATTACAAGTTTCAGGCCAAATATTCAATACTCACTCAAGAAACATAGAGCACTATCTTCTTTAGCTAAAATATTCGCCTTTCTTGCTTAAAGAAACGCATCAATTGGTGTGGCTGCAATTTAAAGCCCATTAAACATGGTCAACCAAGGTGAATTTGATGCACTCTTGGAGGAATTTAAGAAACTTAATGTTCGGTTGGCGAAAACGGAAGAAAGCCTTCATCGTCGGGACGAAGAGACAACCTCCATGGCTGCCATTCTCACACAACTACAAGAAGTCGTGAAGGACCGCGTCGACGGTGACCTAACCAACGCACACCTCATCAAACTGAGGAACTTAAACTCGTGATCTCCCGGTGTTTGATGGAGACCTTGAACCGGAAGCATACTTGGATTGGGAGCGACATACGGAACGTATCTTTGATCATAAAAACTTTGATAATCATAAACGTTTCTCTTACGCAATATTAAAGCTCACAAAATATGCTTCCCTTTGGTATGACTCCATGCAGTCACGAAGGTCACAAGACCACAAAGAAAATGATTCAATCATGGACAAGGTTGAAGGCAAAGATGAAGAAGCGATTTGTTCCGCGTTTTTACAAGCAAGATTTATTTATCAAGCTGAATTCTTTACAACAAAGCTACATGTCCATAGAGCAATACTTAAAGAGTTTGAGAGATTGTATATGGCATGTGAGATTAAGGATGAGGAGGAGCAAAAGAATGCCAAGTTTCTACTCGGTTTACACCCCTCCATTGCGCGTCAAGTCGAGCTACAACCATATACTACGTTTGATGAATTGTGTAACCTTGCTTATAAGGTTGAGCGGCAGCAAAAGAGTTCAAAATATATGGCAACAACTGCATTTCTCTTATTTTGGGAAGGGTTATTCTAGAGTGAGCCATACCCAATTTCTTGCAGATTTCCTAAAGTCTTGCCTAGTAAGCTTCCTAGAATGAGTATTTTTGGTGGAGATTAAGGAGCTTGAGAGCCCATCTGCTTATGTTAGGTTGACCATCCAATTTTCTTTGTTCCAAATTGGCTAGTGTTTTGGAGAATTATTGGAACCAACCTAATCACTTTGGCAGTTAGGATTGTGTTGGTGGTTGAATACCTAGTTCTTAAGAAAAAAAAAAATTATTTTGATTTCACTTGTCTAATGAGATACCAAGTTAGGATGAGTGTAGAGTTGATTATGACAAAAAAGATTGGTATTATCGAAGGAATTTGGGAGTTTATGTTGATTTCATATTGAATATGATAATAAAAGGAACATATGCAATGATCAAGGAGATATTTTTGAAGTAAATGTGTGAGTATTCCTTAATCCTATGGCTATTCATCTTGAGGTGATGAATAAGTAAACTATAACGACTTCAAAATCTTGAGGAATTTTATTTATAGGAGTTGTTGAGGATATTATTTTACCAATTGGAGATTTTATTTTGGAGGGCTTTCATGAAAGTTTTGAAAAGGTATTACATTGGGAGTATTGAGAAGTATTTAGTCAATTAATTTTGAGTACAGATAATAGATTATTAAACATTTATTTCGAGTTTTGAGGATGGTTATCATTCATTCTTTGTTATAAGGGAATATATCATGTAGCAATGCTACAATTCTCGGAGAAGCTTTGTGTGATCACCTACCTATTTCTTTGAGTGATTCAAGCACCACATTTATTCATTTTATCAAGTGCTACCTTTTTTATTACTTCCTTTGTTGGGTAGTGATTCAAGGGAATATTTTTATTTTTATTTGTTTGTTCAACTAAATGAACTCTTTGGTTGTATATCAATCAAAGTATATGTTTCGGATTTTAAGAATGAGGATACAAATATATGTTACCTCAAACTTTAATTCGACTTAATTGTTGATTGTTTCTTTATTGGGTTGGTTGGTGTTAGTAATTAGAGTGAAATAAAGTATTTTGGCCTTACTTTTGGCGATTCTTTTGGTCCTCGTAGTGATGTGTGGTGGCATGGGAATTCCAATATCGGAAATAATTTAAATGAGTTAATTAAACAGTTAGCCACTGTAGATCAACAGTTGGCAGGGGGTGGATTTACAACCACCGAAAACCTCGTAATGGATATATGTATGAAGGTAATGCAATGCAAAACCACCTATGCGAGGAAGGAAACTTGATTCTTAGGGTTCGAAGGTTGGCATATTGAGTTGACAAGTTGGATGGAGAAATCGAAATGTCCAAGGAACCTATATATGAATGGTAATGTAAGGGAGAAGACCAACCAAGTGAGTGAACGGCAAAGGATACACCCAATTTCAATTAACAAGTATTTAAGGTAGCAACTTAAGAAATGTTCTCTTGTTTAAGTTTATGATAACAAAAAGGTGTAAGGATTATAATGGCTTTTGAAATGAGGAATTTACTTCAACGATAGCACCCATTTTGAGTTTATTGAGTCACTTGGACTCGCAATTGAGGTAGTGTTTATTAAGAAATCCAAGGTGAACAAGGTTGGAAAAGGATTATATTGACTGTGGAATTCAACTAAAGATATTGAAGAAAGGACTATGAGATTTGAATAAATTGTATGAAGAATCATCTCTTATATATACTCTTAAAAGTAAGGTGTTAATTTTAAGACTGAGAATGAGAAAATAAGGCATTTGGGAATTCAAATGGTAATGACTAATGAGATGGTCAATGAAATTTTAAGAATATATAAAGGAGCAGTACTATTTTCAAGGTGAATCTATGAAGAGGTGGCATGAATTGATTCTTGAACTTTAGAAGTTTCTTGAATTGATAGGAAATGGTTTACTTCAATAGATGGGGATGACATTATTATGAAATTGACATTTTATGGGGAGAAACCTAACGTTCAACTTGGTTGAGGAGATTTTAATGTAATGTTGCATATGGAATACTACGCAATTACATTGAAATTCGTGGTGAGTCACAAAAAGGTTTATAAAGTATTAAGGGAAAGCCTGTGACTTGTTAGAACGTTTATAGTGTTAAGGTACTGGATTTTTAGAGGCATTATAATCCTGGTATTTAAGGGTTGTGAATGAGTATTGGCTATGATCATAAGTACACGTTTTTATAGAAGAAAGGGTAAAGTTTTATCAACTAATTAGAAACTAAGGGAGTCGAGAAGTGAAATTGTCAGGAATTGTTAAACAGAAGTTACATTGCTTTGGGAAGCGCTTGTATAGGTGTGTAGAAAAGAGAATGAAGAAAGTAAGACGTTATGTGATAGTTGAAAGGAGTTAAATAAGGTGATACTACAGAAAAAGTATTTTACCAAGGACGATCAATTAATTGATAAATGGAGAAAGTCAATGATAGTTTTAAATTGAGGATAAATATTAATTGACACAATGAGTTAAGTTTAATATTATGCTTTTGCAATTGCACTTGCATCGCTATGAATCTGAGGAGTTGAGTATTATCATTCGTGGGATAAATTTATGGAATTTTACTGAGGAAATTTAATGTATTTTAAGGATATGGAAGATCATGTAGGAGGATGTAAACAGTTGTGTGGGTTTTGGATGGAGAAAATGGAATTCCAATAATAATTGCTATAAAGGGATGGCATAAAAGTAGACAAGGAAAGATTAAAGTTGTTGAGGATTGACCTACACCTTAAAGGAGTTTAGGTTCAAAGTT